GCACACCATGGAAGTCTTTCCAGTAATTCCTGCACTGAAAAGCATTGATATTGACAACCATTGAAGCAGCATCTGATCTGGAGATTCAGTGCCCAGTTCAGTCATTTGTATGTGCCTGAGTATTTTTAAGAAATCAAGCCTAACTTTTAATAACCCAGTATCTTTTCCCCACCGCTGTTCACTTACTTTGAAGTCTTATATAATGGGAATGCAGGGCTAAAATCAGGACAAAAAATGTCACAGGTAAGTACCACAAGAGAAAAAGTGCTGATAATCCCTTATAGGTAGTAATCTGTCTGAGTCATATTTTGTAGACAGTACTGTTACAAGTAAACCCAGTGTAAGATTAGAGAGGCCCAAAACTTTTGTAAGGAACTTTAAATCTCAAAGATTCAGAAACCTTTTGAAATACTCTTCCTTCCCTGAGGCCATGAGAGATTTATGAAGCCAAGCAAAATTCGTATTTTTCATATTCATATTCACAGTTATTCCAGCTGAACTACATTCTAGTGAGAGTCAACCCCCAAGCTCACAGTAGAGATGCTGGGTGTCATGCCCCAGGTACTGAAACAAGCCCCAAATGAATGGAGCTGTATGTGAACCGACGCACCTACATTTTTCTCAATTCTCAGTCTTTCATCTGCAGCAACTCTTAGTCAATTTTGATTTCAGGAGTAGATTCAGGTCTAATTTCAGGCATCTTTTTGTCTCAGCTCTTCACCCACAGTTTCCCATACGGCTGGTAAAGACTATGAGACACTTCCTGGTGCAATTCTTCACTCCAGTTTTGGATGCCTATATCAGACTGAGGTCAGTCGTGTCCTGGAATAGCCTTTGCTATGAAAGGGAAGCCAACTCCGAGGCTGAGGACCACACTGCAAAGATTTGTATCAGTTGGATCCTGTTAGAGCTGGTTAACAAGATACTCCTCCTAGTTGAAGAAAAAGTGTCCAGATATTTTAACAAATTATGATACATAGTATATCACATCTGGAGATCTCTCCTCCCATTCAAATCTAAAGAAAACATGAAAAGTTGTCTGCACATTGTACAGTGTTGTCCATTTTCTTCTAATTATTCAGATTAGAAACATTAGCAAAGCAAATTTCCAACTATTGAGATTGAATATAATCAACACCCCCAGATAGTTCCTTCTCTAAGCTCCATTCCCATAATGACCTTTGCTTCCTAAAATCGTCATGAAAATTATAGTGGCCTTTAAAAGGAAGAATTAATGCAAAGCATCACACAGTGTTCTTTAAGACAAAAGCCAAGGGCAGCCCAAGAGAAAAGCAAGGTTAAGATTCAACTGCCTAGCACAGATTGGGCTTTAGTTTTGATTGTCAGGTGAGAAGAAAGGGCAGAACTCATTTATTTAGTTTGTCCCTTGGTTTAAGCAGCAATATGACAAGTTGTGTAAAAGGGAAAGTTCATTCCCACATAAATGTGTCTTAGAAGAGCTCATCTATGACATTTTGGTCTTGGAGGGACGGGAAGGAGGGACAGAAAGGCTGCATGTCCTGACTGCATAAATGCCTCTTTGGCTGTTTAATGGAGCGGCAGAAGTGCCTGGCACAAAGGCAACTGTGTTCTTCACCTTCGCAGCTGGGGGAATGACCCACGGTCATTGTCATCATATAGCACAACAGTTTATTAAAGGAATGAAGGCAGAACCATACGTGGTTTCCAGAGCGAAGGGGCAGGAAATCCTTGTCACCTTGTCAAGGCTCTACTGATCTTAATGGGGCCTGCCACAGAGAAAAGCTCTGCTTGAAAAGCTGGAGGGTGCTGCTGCTGCTGGAAGAGTTCAAAAACACTAGCTCAGAAACACTAATAAGAATATTTCCCACTGTTTTTTCATCAGAGCTTAAAAGTAGCAGTATATTGCAGAGTACAGTAGCAAAATCTGTATGCTGAAATCATAAAATACATATATATTCACTTCTAGAAAAGAGTAACTGAAAGTTTGTTTTAGAATGGATGAATTTGTTAAGATAACCTGTTCCTGGTAGTAGTTCCCAGGAAGAGGACTTAATACTTATTTCTAATCTCCTAGAATACTGCACAGATGAACAAAATTAATTTAATCGCCAAGGAAAATAGCCAAGAAAGTAATGAATCTTTTGTTAAATATTAATTATATTTTTTTCTCATCACAGAATTTACAAGGTTCTCATGAAGTAAAGATTAATTCAGAGGTTTTTATTTATCCTCTGCTGTGGATGGATCTCTTCTCAGTTGAGAATGAATTTATTTCTGCTTGAAAAGAAAGTCCTTTGTAAAAGGACTTGCAGTCTTTGTTAGAGAAATCCAGGCAGAGTGAAACGTTTTATTGTCTAAGCTGTTCAATGATAATGAGTTCTGCATTTAGATATTTGTGATTTTTTTTTTACCTTATCCAGCAGTAGCATTGCAGTTTATTTTTTCAAATGTTTGGGAAGAAGATTTGTATTAAAGGAAAGCAGCCTGTTCCCCAGTTTTAGTATAACATCTGTTATTATCATTCAGTGCTCCTCTTAGCCCAGCAAGCCCTTCCTCTAAATATCTTATTAATTAAACAGGCTTGGTAAGGAAAATAATTAATACTTCAAATCCTATACTTAGAAGGGATTTGGAAATTGAAGAAATTGTTTCAGCCCAAGCTTCAAATAAGAACATTTTTTGTCATTCTTGAGCAGATGATTAAAACTCAAAGGGAATATATGAAGAAAACTATGTATATAAATGCTTCTAAAAATACATATTCTATCCTCAAAATTCTGCTCTCCTGCTGTGAATGTGAGAAACCTTGCTCCATAGTTAAGAGTCTTTCTTGGTGTTGCTCTAGGGGAAGGTCCTCTTATCCTTCTTCAGGGTATTCTGAATATTCCATTCTTCTCTAAGTTTAGGAAAAGCTTCTACATGGAAAGAGAGGTGAAGTACTCCCATGGTGATCCCTTGCAGTGTGTGAGAAATGTGTAGATGAGGCGCTCAGGGACATGATTTAGCAGACATGGTGGTGATGGGTTTATGGTTGGAATGATGATCCTGAAGGTCTTTTCCAACCGTAATGATTCTCTGATTCAGAACATTCTACCAGGCTTGTTTGGGCTTCAACACCCAGGAGCATTAACTTCAGTTCACAAAACTGCAGCATTTCCTGCCACTACTTTAATAACCTCATGGCAGATGTTTGCCATGACATAGATAGCATTCCTTATGCTGTTGACTAGATAAGTGGATGAGACAGTGAACCCCACATGAGCATCAGTAACCCTGTGTAAAATGGGCGCACGTGGTTAAATTCTCAGCAGGTCCATTGCATGACACGACCTGCAGACCTAACGTTGGCTCTAAGTTTTTCATCCTTCACCATGTATGAAAACAGTATTTACACATTGGTCTCATTCTGTGTATAGTATATGGAAGGCCAACATGTTATATGGAGTCTATCTATCCGTGCATACTTTAAGGTTTGTTCCTGTGTGCTTATGGACATTTGGGCAGACTGACGACTGTTCACTGTGGAAATGAAATGGAATGAAATGGAAATTAGTTTCTCGGATCTATTGAGAAAGGTATTCAGCAAGGCCAAATTGCTTTTTAAAGTCAAGCAAGGTTTTAGCAATTTCTTTGGTGGGAGAAAGCTCAGAAGTTAACTGTAGCGAGTTTAGGATTGTTTGAGGGGCTGATAGTGGCTATTTTTAAAGCAAAAGAGAAAAAGCTTTAGATGACACATGAGAACAAGGGCACCTAGACTCAGGTAAAGTGTATATTTGCAACATAGACAAAGAGACTGGGCCCTGTGACTGCATAACAGGTTTCAGGTCCTTTACCTTGGCAAAGAGACGGTCTATTAAAATCCCACCTGAAGTTGAGGGGCAGTGTTGAGGAGAAAGCGTGGCTTTTATTAGCAGGCCACTGCAGCATTTTGCTGTCTTTGTCCTCAGGGGCACGTGCTCCAAACTGGCTTTAAAAAAGGAAAAGCACAACTGTACACCATGGAGGAGAGTGCTGCATGTAGCAGGCTTACACCAGCCCTGTTCCTACTAAGCAGGATATGTCTGACAGCAAAGAAGATGCAGAGAATGCAGAGTACCAACAAACGTAGCCAATTCACCAAGTACCTTGTGTCCCAGAGGGAAGCATATATATGCAGCTGTGCCAGGAAGGGCTGCAGACTCATGTTTTTGGGGAAGAAGGGAGCATTTTGCAGCATCTTTTGCTGTAAACGTTCCTTGAGCAGGCTGGAGTGGCAAAATCCTGATCCATCCATGCGTCTCATAGGGGAGCATATGGCCAAAGTGCCTGCGCAGGCGGGTTGCTCACCAAGCGCGTGCAGTTATGGCACTCTGGCACATCAGCTGCTGCATTGTGTTAATTACTGCAGAGCTAAATGAGCATGGCATTGCTGTCTGTCATTTTGCCATCCCAGTGACCACGGTATCCAGGCCCTCATAGACCCGTCTTTGGGGAAAACATCCGCAGGCAGGAAAAGGCTGTGTTAAACAGATATTTTTTGCCGTGCTCCAAATGCCTTGCTTTTCTCTCCCTGAATTGAGGGGCAAACAACCCTTGCCTTCAGGCCCGAAGGAGGTGCCAGTCTTCTGCTGTTGCATGGGGACAATTCGCGACCACTTCTTTCAAGCACACGTTGATCACAGCGATCGTTCACATCGCCTTCCTTCTTATCTTTCCCTCTTCGCTTTTTCTCCCTTTTCTGTCTCTAGTTCTCCACAGAAATTCTTGGCACATGTCTGCAAATTCAGCTATGGGAGTATAGACATGCACTCAAAGAGGGCAGCCTCTATCCTGCTGCATCAATAACAGCTATGCTACAACAGCCAGAAGAGTTGCATGGAGCACCAATAGCCTCTGTTTTCAGGCACTAATTTGCCACTGAAAGTAATAAGAGAGAGAGAGAGAAAAAGGTGTTTTAAATACTTAAAGGCATACAGCCTTTTAAAAATGATAATTTTCCTTATTTTAAATTTATACTGACCATTCTCCTTTGCTTACAGCTTTGGAAAGGAAGATATCGATGAGGCAAAGCAGAGAGGAGCTTATAAAACGAGGAGTGCTGAAGGAAATCTTTGATAAAGGTAAGCCTTCTTCCTCTCACAACACTGAATTGGCATCCTGTATAGTTTTATGGCCATATCTTACACTAGTGTAACATTGGGAACATGTAGTATACTCCTGAATTGCAGCATCATGTCTGCAATCACAGAATAAGGCCTCCAAAGTACTCTTTTTGATATTAGCTTGTGTTGGCCCTTGTGAGGGCCATTACCCTTATTTGATAACCTCATTTGGTTACCTTGTTTTGGTAAATGTGGCAGCTATGTAGTAAACAAAAACGAGAGCTAAACAGAAGTGTGAAGCAGTAGAAATACAAATCAAAGCAGTTTGCAGGAGTCGCTGCAAAACAGCAGATCTTCCAGACTGAGGGAAGATGGCATGGGTCTCTACCTACTTTTGTTGTCATTCTTCTCCGTGAGTCACTGTGAGATTAACTATTGTGGAAAAAGGGAGTGTTCTAGGGGATTAGATACTGCAAGGAACACAGAACATATTCCCTTGAAACGGCTCAAAACCCATGGTAAAGATTTCTTGTTCCAGATAAATAATTTCTTGAGCTACTAATGTATTATTTATGTCAAACATCATTGTTTTATATCTGTAAAGCAATAAATATTTGACATCTATTATGTATGTGTCAATCTTGACCATAACTTTTATTTGTTTTGCTGCTTGCTTTGGCAACTTTACAATAGCAATGAACTAAATATAGCAATGAACTAAACAAATTTCAGTAGAACTTAGGCATGTGCTTTAATGCCTCATTAATTCAAAGTTTAAAAGTCTTTAATAACATATCATGAACAGAATCTGGTAGAAGTCAGAAGAAGTTGTGAACTTGCACAGACAGTAGAAGTAGAGGTTGCCTCATAAAATCTGGATGCTTCAAATCTGCTACATACTTTTTTAGTGTAGCTCACTGAGAAAGGAGAGTTGATTAAAAAACTTACCGAAAATGATTATTTTTTTAATTGCCAAGAGAATGCTACTTATCACTATATTGTATGTTTTTTTACACCTCACATATTTTAGATGTTTCTTTATAGCCAACACTACTTCTTCTCTCACCAAGGTTCCCTATGGCACCCTGAAAGCAGCCTCATCCCACAGGAATGTGTCATTCAGCTGGGGTACAGTCTCTGGCATCCAGGCTTTGCATCTCAAAGGGATCTGCTTCAGACATGTCCCTACACACATGTGAAGGCAGCATAGTGTAAAATCCCTCCCAGACTGCCTGCCCTGCCCTTGGTCATGAAAGCTAGAGAAATTCTTCCACTCCGAAGTGCTGCAGACTTGTCCTTAGAATGAACTGGCTGCAACTCCACTGCATGCACATGTGGAAACGTGACGGTGGGCAGAGCTTGGGGATACCCAAGGTGTGCACAGTCTGCTTCCTGACCTTTTTCTTTTGGCTATGATTCTTTTTTCCCAGAAAGTCTGAGCAATTGACTTTTTAAATGTCAATCTTTGTGTGGATTCCTAGTTGAACTTTTGCTCCAAAATTAAGCAGTAGGTCTCAAAAGCAAAAAAAAAAAAAAAAAAAAAAACCTTACGAAAAAAATCTTACATTGAGATTACAGTTGACTGAAAACACTCAACAGTTGCCTGAATGGAGCTTTCTAATATATTATCTAAGGAACTCATTCTCTACTTTTTTTTTCATTTGATAAAGAATAAGGAAGAAAAACAAGCACAATCTTCATCTAACTGTGGCAAGGTTTGAGTGTTTTTAGTTTTAATAGCTTCCAGGTCAGAGACCTGCCAGGAGGCTACTGCTGAATCCCCTTCATCCTGCCCACTCTGATTTCCCTCACTTTGGGAAATTTTTAAACGTAAGCCCAAGAAATAAAAATCTGTTTTATTGAAGCATGTGAGGAATTTCAGCTAGCTGCTTTTTTTCTTGGCTGCTTGCATCCTCCATCTGTCAAATAATGCTATAGTTTGTAATCTTCTGTGTCACCTTGTGAAATAGATGCTAAGTTGTCTGGAGATTCTCATGAAAAAAAAAAACCCAACCTTTTAAAAAATCCATTCCTTCTTTGCAGTTATTTTTCACTATTTCCTGTGCAAAAAGCAAAGACATTGGGCTTTGCTTTTGACAAGCGCCATTAAAGGAAAATCCCAAGCAGATGGACTTCTTATCCAGTATCCCCACGTTATTTTCTGCTAATTTCAAAAACAGGAAGGTATGAATTTGAACTCTTCCTTGAAGGGAAGAAACAGGACAGAAGAGAAAGTGATAGAACATGGGTAGTGATAATGTACCTTTGATATCTAAGATACATAGGGTATTTCTAGAACAAAAGTAATATTTTTTTCATTGGTTGAGCCAATGGAGGGCAAAGCAGACAGAATCAGTCTACAAGTGAGTAATTTTGCTTTCTCCTTTCTTAAAAAAATCCATCCAAAACAAAATAAAATTAATAGGTGCAGATAGACCCAGAAACGAAAGCTCTGGAGCAGCAGTCTGCATAGGATGTTTTTTACCATATTGTCCAAGGAGAAGAAGGTTAGAGATCTAGTTCCTGCCTCATGCTTAAAATAGCACCCTAACATGTTCTCTTCAGTATCGCTGACTTCTCAGATGACTTTAAGTTGCCCTGCAGGTGAAAGCTAGCAAAGTACTGTTAGTCACAGTGTTCATTATAATGTTTTGATATCTCTTCTTTTGTCTGAACCTAGATGAGATAGTAAAAAAATTTCTGAATGTGAATATATTGCTTGTTTGCCTCAGAGATGATGAGGAAACAATTGTTTGAAAAAGAATGGGGCCATCTTTACCTTTATGAAGCAATATTTTTCTACTGTCTAATCAAAATGAGGATTTTAGGACTAAATTTCAGGTTTTGGAGATGTTTGGATGGTGATGTATTCACAGAGTGAAAGTGCTGCCCTTCTGTCTTAGGACAGGTTGTGTTGTGTAGTGCAGATATGTGTTCAGTGAGAAGTGGCCTAAGTAATGCCATGAAGTGGAAGGCAGGGTAGCCACCTGGGAAGCAGCTGTGTGGCAATACAATGATAAGATGTACTGCTTTGGAATCCTCCAGAAGCAGGGAGGCCAGCCTATCTGAAAGTCCACTACGATGTCAGGGACTGTAAGAGTGGAGAAATTCAGCCACTGGCTTAATATAGCCACCACAGCTTGGAAGCAGTCCAGGGCACAGAACTTCACCACCTTCAAGAACACTCTGTTTTCCATCTATGGTCCATGTCATGCAAGTGCCCTTGCTATCCTTTGCCACTGAGAGCACTTGCTTGGAGATGCATGAGAACAGGTGAATATAGAGGAAGACAACCCAGACTTACAAATAACCCAGGACTGAGAATTCTCTTCTCAATCATTTTGATTTCTTTAGCCATTTTTCTATGGGAGGAGCATGTCAGCTTGGAAGTCTTCAAATATATAAGTTCTTTACTCAAAGATTTTCAAGGGACACCATTAGGCAGTAGGAAGAGGTCTGTGCTGGCCAACATGATATACTTGTAGCCTGCGCTACAAGAATACATTTTTTTTAAATGCCTGAAAGTGGAAATAGCAAGCACTTAGCAGATGTATTTGGGAGTACGAATCATGCTTAGGGACCACATCTTTTGAACATCTATTTGTCATCTCTTCATTTGTGGGTTTTCACACCAAACTATTATTTCCACATGCTGAAGTGAATTAGTGTCTGGATAGTGCCCTCTCCATTAAGGAGCTTCCCCTCAAATTCTGTTTCTTCATGTTCTGTGCTTCCTGATTAGGAGAATCAGGATGCAGAACAGGCTCCTCTTGCTGCAGACCTCAAGCTACTATCTTTAGTCCCCTGCAGATCAAGATGATTCACACACAGGCTGCATTATCAAAGCTCATACAGCTAGGGAAAGTCATTTGCTAGGAAGTAACAGCAGCCTCTATGAAAACACAGCAGAGGATTTGGCAAATGTGAGAACAGAAGATTATATATATTATCATCATGCCAGAATTAACTTTAAAGTCATACTCTATTCCTGAAGACTAATGAATTCATCCGTATATAATTCATAACTGCATTACTAGGATCTTTCCATTTATATTTCAGCTAACCGGAATAGCTTTTTGTAGTTTTAAAATAATAATTAATTTGTCGTTTATGTTTGGCTGTCAAGCGTGCCTCTAAGCCGGATTAATTCACACTAAGAGATTCTTCACTCTACAAATGATCACTGTATCTACATCTTTGATTTGTTTACTGAGCTCTAGCAGCTCCTTACATTGCTCTTCTTTAAATTGGATTAGGTTTAGGGTACATATTTTGGTCATGATTGTGTGTCATGTTTGATGGTTTTGGTCAAATCCAAGGATGAATTTTAGAGTCTAAATGAAGGTTAGAGCTATTCAGAGGAAAGATTAAAAGAGGTTATGGTGTCAGTAGAGAGAGCTATCGTGCTTGTTATTATGACAAAAACTAAAAGATAGATTTTAATCTCTTATTTTACCTTTTTTGCAATAACACACTTTCAGCACAGTATGTGAATGCTGTCTTCTTAAGACATGCTGAATATATCTTGAGAAGTGGAAGGCCATTTAAGATAGTAAGATTTGAAGGTGCCCAGCATCTTCATTAAAAATGTCCTTTCATTAAAAATATCCCTCAAACAAATCAATATTGGTGATTTTATCAGGATTTTTTCTTGTTTGCTCTCAGCTATGGTCAGATTTAGTCCTGCATTAAATTACTGGCAACTTTGAGAAACAGTTATGCTCTTTTTTGACAGTAAGTAATTGAGACAACAGTAGCCTCTATCCCCAAACAAGGTAAAGGTGCATGTTTATAAAAGGAGAACAGAGCAGGCACAAAGATACATAGATTTTTCACCAAAAGAATTATCCCAAAGACGTTCAGCTTAAATACTGTCTGAAATGGTGTTTGATTTTTACTGTCTAGGGAAATACACTGGTTTGCATTGAATGACCACAGCAGTTAGAGTGAGGCTGTGCTGTTAGCAATTGCCTGAAACTTTCAGCTTTGATTAATGTTACCACCTTTTGCCAGCTCAGTTGATTGCTGTGAAAGCTGCAATTCACATTTCAGGCTCTTATGATACAACTGTGTACCATAACTGCTCTCTAGTTCTTCAAAAACCCTCTAACAAAGGCAAGAAAGTCAAGACCTTGTTATTTCTGGTAGTTCCAAATTTAATAGATTATCTTTAGTCATTGAAAAGGAGCTTTAAAAGGCAGAAATACTTAGCACCTAGTGTACCTCCAGCTTATTATTTGGCTTGTCCTGAGGCCTGTGTGAGATGTACATTTTTTTTTCTTTTTGAATTTTTTTTCCAAAGTATTATGCACATCTTAGCCCTATGAGAGGAAATATTCATTCACTTGAATAATGTATGTCTCTGCTTGATATATTGCGCAGTAACACAACTGATTACAGATAGCCAAAAATTAGGAATTATATCCTGAAATCCTGAATGTGCTTTAAAAAAAAAAATCATAAATAATAAGGCTCTCTGTTTGCCTATTGATTTTTAACCTTACAGGTTGCATTCCAGTTATCTTTTCAGGCTTCCATTCACAACCATAAGGGCTGAACGCTCTGTTTTATAAAATTGTATTTGAGATATCCATGTAGTCATTGCCTCCAGGTAACAGAGTATTGTGCATGACTTCTGAAATAAAAATCATGAAGTTTGACACCGTGGAGAATTATATGAGCTCTGCCTTCTGTTCTTAACTATTTCTAATATGAAGTCATATTTGATAAGAAAGAACACTAACAGTTGCTGTTGCAGAAATTTTGTCCAAATAAAAGATATATTTTTAGGATTTTACAGACAGATTTTCTAAATGGTACTCGCCGTATACTAATATCAAGACCTTATATTGACTGATTATAAAAGTTATTCTCTCCCTTTACTTAAACCCTAGATCATGCTGGGAACTGTAATGATTTTACTGGTGTATAAAATAGGGATATTTTTCTGTAACTTTACTCACATTGCACAGCATAAAAATCGATGTAAGGCAGAAGAATAATTCATATGTTCCATGACTTCTGTTCCTGCCTGTTCTCATTCCTGACCTCCCAGTTTTAGCAAAGGCAGGAGGCAAATAGGTTTTGTGGCTCTATGAGATGGAGGAGGGTCAGGAATCTTTCAATTACATAATGGATCATAATGTCTATCCTAAGGTAAACCAAAGATTAATACTGACTTTTGACGGAACTTTTCCATAGTCTTGATAACCCTTTTAAAGGAAGTGAAATGCTGTCATACTTCCTTGATACTGTTGTGGACAGAACATCAGAATTGGGCATCTCTAGAAATTCTTGTGCATACGTTCTGTCACTGAGATATAAGCCACATGGTTTTGATCCTTGTCATTGCATCTTCGGTATGTGCCTCAGATCAGATTCCTGGATCAAAAGCAACCTAAGAAAGACAGCATATTTCATATTAAAATCTTGCTACATCTTACTTATATTTCTTCTATTGTCATTGTGCTTTCCTCCAAATATGAGCAGATGGGGAACTTTCCTTACCAAATGAAGATGGAGCTCTGGAGAATGGGCAGCCTCTTGGCTCTGCACAAGTGCTGAGCTCCAGCCAGGTGTCCCTCCCAGCCCTAGCAGAACTGGAGTCAGGTTCAGCTTCTGTGGAACCCTGCTCGTATGAGGTGCTGCCAACCCCAGAGATCATGGATGGGACAGGTAATGTCTTGTTTTTCTGACAATGTAAATACTTCATGCTATTTGAAATGAATTTTTGATCTCTAACATTTGGTGTCTATTCCTGAGAAAATCATGTTGAAGACTGGGGTCTTCTGATGGAGAAGGAGATGACAGCATACAAACTACCGCTGGATGCTCCAGAAGAGATTTTGACTGCCTCAGCATAGGAATAACCTCCAAGGCCCAGGGGATAAAGCAATGTCCCTACACTTCGTGAACATTTCAGAACAGATTTTGATCCTGTAACTTCTTAGCTTTGCCAGTGGGTTCTAGAGAGGATAATGACAATATTTTAGAGGCCAGAGTACAAACCTAAGTCCTTTACGTGCTGCACAGGTGACATTCACACTACACAACTTTCAGTAGCTCACAAAGCCAGCCAGCTGTACTAGCCTAGGCAAGGCTCCCTACGCGTCCTCTCCAGCCAGCACCGAGAGGCAAGGGCACTGCTCTCAGCAGTAATGTTGGTCATCTCAATTAGCTTCCATTGTGCCAGTCACTTAAAGCTGAGCCGTGTGGAGGAGAGTCCAATGTGGTAAAATGAAGTGAATTAATGGGCAGGTCTGCTCATCCACAATGCTGCACAGCTGTGGATCCTATAGGAAGTGGTATATACCCCACAAGGTGGTGTCGCAGTTATGGAAGGGCAATATATTTGTTAATGTATCCGATCCCGAGCAAGCTGTGGTGACAAGCAGTCTGAGATGTGACATTTTAAGGCTTTTCATTTGTGTTCAGTATATTGTGTTCAAGGAATACATCCCAGCCTGGCATAGGGAGCTGGGTTCTGTCATGAGCTAATGGGAAATCCAGTCTGTTGTGTAGATATGTGTTGCTTTCTCTCTCTCTCTTTCTGTCTTTTTCTCCTTCTTTGTATGTTTTATGAAGTTTGAGTGAAATCTATTAGTCATTTTTAACTGGCATTGCTGTGCTGCATTTCATGTCTTACTATGGCTGTATCCACTGCTGCTTTGCTTGTAACGTTGTTGTGCCTATGATGTGGTTGTGTCCTCCAGTGTCTGAAGAGAGCCCCACATCCAATGAACCCGGAGTCCTCCTGTCCCAAGATCCTACAGCTAAACCAGTCCTGCTTCTTCCCCCCAAAAAATCTGCTGCTTTCCCTGGAGACCATGAGGACACCCCAGTGAAACAGTTGTCCCTCCTCAAACAGCCCCCTGCCCTGCCTCCTAAACCTATTGCCAGGATTGCCAGCCACTTAACTGGTAAGTCGGTGCACCTTGACCCTCAGCTCCACCGTTTCCCTTATAGGAAAAAATCTGCCCCTATAGCAAGGTTCTCAGCATCCTTCTTCTATAAAGCTGTTTGCGCTTGTCATTGTGTGTATTGGCAATGTGTAAGTGTTGTGCCTAGGGCAGGGATCACAAAGCATTTTCAGCCTATACCTTCAGCATGGGAGCTTCAAGGCACTTCCCCTCTCAACCATTCTCCTGATGCTGCCACTACATTTCCTAAGCCCCCTCGCTCTTTTTCATTAAGATGTGCCATCCCTGCAAAAAATGCAGGATGTGCTTGGAAGGGAAAGGAAACATCAGAAAAATACTCTGGTTACCTTCAACAGCATTTAATAAGAAGAGGGTAGGAAGTCATTGAGGGAAAGAATTCAAAGAAAAAATACACACCCCATATCTTCTCAAATGTTTCTCTTTTTACTGATCCTTGTGCAGGCTGTTCTATCTCCTGACTTCTTGCTTTTCTGCTTCCCCTCTTGTACTGCCTGCCAAACTGCTCCCCTTTTTGACCCTTCTCAGAATGTTCCTCATCCACTGGGAGCTCCACCACCCTGTTGATGAGGGGCAGCTCCGCTTTCCCTCATGACATGAATTTTGACATCCCTGAGGAATGCTATCATTTCTCTCTCACTCTACAGCAGCTAAATGTAGATAATCCATATTCTTGTCCCATGACTTCGTACAAGTGTCCAGGCTCTTCTTTGGGATTCAAACCTCTAAATGTCTGTGGAAGGAGGACTAGTGAATCTCCTCTCTCCAGTTTGTCACCAAGGGCACTGAAGCAAAGGTCTTCTTTTCCTGTCAGTTAATACCTGCTTTACTTAGGATGTAGAATCAGGAGAGTGCTCATTAAAAAAGAGTATGTCCTATGGTTTTCTCTCATACTTCTACATAGTGTTTTCATGTTTCTGTTTAGATGGCCACTGATTTTTGTTCTATGTAGTTTTGTTCATTTTATGTGAAAGCTCTTTGCTTTCTTGTGTGCCAAACTCCACACATAACAGTTAAATTTTTTCTGCCTTATACTGCAAAGCAAATAGACAGTTCTGCAGCCTGATGAGGCAGGCAACAGTATTACTGTCTTCAGGTGAGGACAACACCAGCTTCGTCTGATCTCCCAAAGCTCTCTTTCCAAGTTGCGAGCAGCTGTTCAGAGATGAAATCACTGCAGAGAAAATACAAAAAGTAGCAATAGAATAGGAAAATAAGCCTCTAGAATTTACTGGCCTTCACTCACAAGCCTTCCTTTTATATGAGAGAATATAAAAATCAAAGAATGGGTGTTTCTGGTAGTTTTTTGTATGCCAAATTTTTGTATGAAGTGGAATTGGTCTCAAGCTACCAGCATAAATCAATTGTTTGACAGTGATGACTTTCCAGTGAAAGGAAAACAGAAGTGTGACTTGCTTTGCTTTGGGATGACCTTTAATGGCCTCTCATGTGGCCCTAAAGAAACTCTTGATGTGCATATACACAAGGTCTTGTATATGTATACACATACACATACACATACACATACACATACACAGTCCTCATGAAAAAGAGTCAAATATTTAGCCACAGGACCCTAACTTAATTGATATTTGTCTCTAGTAGCTCTGAAAGCCTCATTTATTTGTATCTTTATAGATAAAAGCATTCAGCTTATTCTTAAGCTTACTCTTTCTTCGGTAATCTTCTATAATCTTTAGAAATGAGCAATCAATCCTAATGAAGCACCCTCAGCAGCGAGAAGCAGAATTAATGCTATTCTTTTACTAATTACTACAGAAACATCCTCAGATTGTATGTGAGAAAACAAGTAAAATCAGCATTCTGATGTTCAAGATGAAGAATCTTGTTTCTCCTTACATTTCCACAGACAATTTTATGAGAAGGTTGAGGAAAAATTAAGGCATACCAAGCATGACTAATGGAGAGTAACAGTGGTAAATGGTCTGGTAGATCTTTGCAAGAAGACTGTGAAAGAAGATGTGATCCTGTGATGGGTTCAGGTACACATCTAAATGAGAGAATGCAGAAGTGCCTCTGAACTTCTGTGTGTATATATATATGCACACTCATATACATATATATGTATACACACATATATATGTGTGATTGTGTATGTGTGTGTATATGTAGATTTATATTTAAAAGGAGCAAATTTATTTTATACAAATACAGCTGAAAACATAATATTATAAAATCACTGTAGGCCTAATGAACAGAGAGAAAAAAAAAAAAAAGGAAACTATTTTAACTGAAAAAAAAAGAATGTGAAAAGAAGTTTCCTTAGAGTCTGACCATCTTGGTGAGAGCTTATCCCAGAGATGTTCAATATAGGCATAAATACCTACCTGAGGAATTTGCCAAAGAACTTACTTAAAGCAAACTATAAAAATGGAAAATGAAAAAATCTTTACCTCTGAAAGCTTTTGTGAACCATCTCAAATATGCCTGTACCAGGGCAAAGATTGGCCTTCTCCTCAGTAAGAAATGCATGTAAAAGAGTTTGTCCAAAATAAACAAGTAAGTGGAAATTTAATTTAGAGGAGAAGAAGAACAAAAAAAAAAAAAAAAAAGAAAGAAAAAGGAGTTTTAAAGATTACAGGAAGAGAGAGTTGCCTCTAGCAAGTATAAGTCGCATAGCCTTGGCATGCTTCTTTTCAAGGCTCTGGTACTATGGAGATAGGAAAGTATACGAATATGCACAGAGCTAAGAGCAGCCCACAACACGGCCACTGAGAGTGATGTTACTGTCACTGCACAAGTGTGTTTGATACCTTTGCTTTGCACTGTCTCCCCTCTTCTTGATGAAGCTGCCACCATGAGGAGGCTGCAGACCTAGATGAAGGAAAAAAAATAGACCAACCTAGATGAAAAATAAAATTTGTAACTGTTTCAATGAAGTTGTTTCAGTCTTCTCCATTTCTTCTTAGTCAGTTATCTCCTGGTCATCCTTCTGTTTTTCAAATATTATTATTTTTTGACAGCCTTCATGAACAGAATTTCTTTCATCTTTTGAATTTATCAGGATCCACACACGGATATTTAAGGACAACAGTTGCAGACCCCTTATTTGGTTGAAACTGAAGAAGGAAGAGAGTAATCATCTGGGACCAAATTTAGATGGATCACTGGGCTTAAGGCCCCAGATTATCATAAGATCTTTAGTGGTGAAAAGTGACAAGAATAGGTAATTCTGACAATAGTCAATGGTCCCCAGTAATATTAAGCTCCTTTTGGTTGTGACTGAATAAGCTATAACCTCACCTATGCAGATGATGTTTTGTGGAATAAATTGGAAACTGGGCATTCAGTCAACATTCTGAGAGGACACAGGGTACATTTTTGGATCTGAGATTATACCCTCTAGTTGTGTTGCTGTACAATGAGAACTAATTCACAACTAAAAGTGTGCATTTAACAGGATAGGAAATGTTGCAATTCCCTAAAAGCAAGTTTTGATAATGTGGACATGCAAGAACGAGGCTTGGGAACAGGGCTGCCTTTCATCATACTCCATTGTCACAGCCAAACTGATTGTTAGTTGCAAGATCTCAAAAGTATTTACAACTACAATTTATCCAATAAATATTCTCTGCAGTATTCTAAAAGTCAGCAGTCACTTGTGTCTCAGATGGTTCTTTCATAGATGAGCCCATGATGTTATCTCTGATTTTCCTACTGCATCATCTGCTCTGACACACCACACTCATGAAGTTACATTCACATGGGGACTAATTCTCTTTACACTGTGACCTTCCAAGAGAGGCAGCAGGGCAAAAGCAGATCCTCTTCCCCAGCACTGGAGAAGAGTACCCAGTGCACAGATAGCAGGAAATCTTCTAATCTTTAAAGTCTGCTTCAAGGCTATGAAGGGAGTTCATGCAGACCCATAGTTTTCAAAGCTAAACATGCTTTCCCTATCTTCTCTAAACTAAACCTCAACCTTGGATGTATGCGTGGTGCAGAAGAACAACAAAAGATTTCAGAGTCTTCCCTGAAATCCTCTCTGAAGGCATGACTATAGATTTTCCTGCAGTCAATGGGAAATGCTTTGCAAATCTCTGAGGACACAGTTTTAATCTGACTTTGTAAATCTGCTTAATTCTCCAAATGAAATAAGAGCAGAGACACTGTGCAGTCACAAGTGATTTCCAGGACAAAGAACTGAAAAGGTAAAAGCCACTTGTCCAAAATTCGATAGTGAATGTCAGTCACATCACCTCATTTCCACCATACCCCCTGTAACAGGCACATGTTGCACATGTTGCACGTGTAGACTGTAGCGTTACCTAATGCTGAACTCTGCAGAATTTCTGCAGTGTGATTTAAAGAGAAGCTGCATGCATTTATGACAGGTTGTAATGCCTGATGTTGCATGTACTACATCAAAGGTCATAGTATCTCAAAGCATTTCAGATGGGAAAGGATCTCAGGAGGTCCCTACCCCAATGACCTGCTCAAGGCCGGACCAGCCATGGGCCACACCCAGTTGCTGAGAGCTTTATCCACTCAGGTCTTGAAAACCTCCAAGTTGGAGAATGCAGAGCCTCTCTGAACAACCTCCTCCACACTTGGCTGTCCTCATGGGGAAAAGGGGTTTCCTTAGATGCACCTGAACCTTTAATTTCAAATTCTGTCCTTCACCTCACACCCTGCCACCATGCACATCTGTGAAGAGCCTGGTCCTGTCATCTTCTTGCTAAACATCTCGTAGGTGCTAGAGGCTGCTGTTAGGTTCCTCTGAGAGTTGCTTCTTTGGGCTGGACAAGCCCAGCTCCCTCAGCCTCTCCTCACAGAGCAAGTGTTCCAGCCCCAGCAATCTTGGGGGACCTCTACTGAACTTGCTCCAGGTAATCAATGTCTTTTCTGTACTGGGAGGGCCAAAACTAGACACAGTATCTGAATGTGGTCCAAGTAAGGGGGATAATTCCTTGCTAGGGCACACCACTGGTTCAAATTTGTCATCATAAGGAGTCAAGAAAATGTTTCTTCTGGTGGCAGCACAGTAAAGTTATCCAACTCTGCCAGCAGCTCAGGATTGCCAGGCATGCCCTCTTCCTCCATGCTGTAATTGTGCTGAAGCAGGATTTGAGGATTTTAATGAGCATTTCTAGGAGCCCTTCTGGAGCAGAATTTCCTGCTCTACATCCGGAATGTCCTAGCATCCCATCTTTAATATGTTCTGACCAACTCTTCAGCCACTTTGTCAACAAGTAGGAGATTTGATGTAGCTGTAGCTCCCGTGTAACACATACACTTCAGAAATACTACATTTGGTTAGGGTTTCTGTGCAGTGGCTGAAGGTGCTTTTGTATCCTAAAAATCAAAAAGGAAATATGGCAGCACTAGACATAGCAAAATTATTTATAATTAAGACATAAGGACTAACCTGCTGGTCAAATATCTGATGCTCACAAATCTTTCAGTGCCTGTGACTATATTTTAAGTAATTTATTGTCATCAACAGCAGGAAGGCTTCTTTGTCTAACATCTCGTTCATTGATTTTGGCACAATTAGACTGAAGCACACACTCTGCTGAATGGTCACAACCTGTTACGAACCACTATCTTGGCAGATTTCATGTTATTCTCTTGAGCATGAGGAACCTCATCCAAACCAGATTAATCAGACCAGCACACCTGGTTCACACAGCTTGCCTCTCCTCTCGTATCAGAGCTTTGTGCAGTGATTTAAGACTGCGCTACTATTCCGCTGAGACAACACCTATCACTGATTCCTTGTTCATCTTTCCTCCATCCAGCTTCCTATTCATCTACAGACAGTCTATGTCTGGTGGATATTCCAACCTGGTGACAATAAATGTTTTGACCCACGCTTCATATATCACATACATTGTAAAATAAAAATGAACACATAAAACTGTAAAATGCGGTTATCTCACGCTGTTACACACAGGGGTCAGTTTGCTCTCACATTCACTGTAGATCATAATAATGCAGTTTCCAACAGTGTGACTGGAGCCCATGGATTGAGCAAGGCTCCGTTTGCTCAGAATGCCCACTGATCTGACAGCTCAGTAAAACTTGCAGTGCAAGGCTTGTTGTCTCCATTACTGATGTTGTTGAAGATATACTGGTACACTTTCAAGTGAATGGATCGAACTGTCCTGTTATTGCACTCATTCTCCTTTTAGCCATTCTTTTTTTTTAATCAGACAAGTAGAATTCACATGAAGGTGAAGCACAGACAAGTAGATTTAACACCTCTGGCTCCTTCTCAAGGCTCTATCTGATGTGAGGAGCCATATTCAGACAGGTTCAAGAGCTCGGGTGAAAGAGAGTCTGGTCTGAATAAAGCCTTACACTAAAAATAGCAGGCAGGATTTTTAACAGGTGTCTGATGGAGTCACCCCAGCACTGACACCAGTACAAGCAATTGAATGCGAAAGATTTCTTCAGATTTAATAAGCAACTACAGCCCCGTACATTTATGGTGAGCAGTAGAAACCAGACTGCTAATCAAATTCATAAAAGTGTATGTGATTGCTCAGTATGTATTTCTGTGAGAATAATTAAGCTAGAACTTCTTTCCTGCGTTACTTCAGAGCTGCACTGCCAGTGACACAACCCTAGCTGGTGAATGGTTGCAACAGAAAGGAAAAGAAAATTTTCATTCTAATTAGAAGAAAGACAGAATTACTCCTGTTTCCTCCATGCTAGAATCAATTGACAGTCCAATCAGGAAATATACTCCAGTCTTCAGGATCACAGAACATGGCAAACCCAGTTCATAATTCCTGTTATTCTTAGTCAGAAGCAAGGGGTACATACAGGCAGCTTTGTTTGAAGGACAACTCTCCTACGTAAGACACAAAAATGGAAGGACATCCAGATGCAAGCACTGTGAGATGACAGGGCTAATAATTGAAATGTATCATTAAAGGATTCAAAACAAGCACAGATAAATCTGCACTTTTCAAAATAGAGAAGAAGTGCAGATAATCTCAGCCTAGTCTTGTAGATCAGAACCAGAGCTAGAAGATTGCCTGTAGTCCAAGTGTATGAACACATTTTCCCATAGGAGCTTTATTCTCTGGCTTCTATACAATTTACACTTTGCTGGGTTTTTTTTTTTTTCATTTACCTTTTACTGAAAATGGTATGATCATTTGAGCAGGATACAAAGAGAAAATACACACAGCTAAATCATAGAATCATAGAATCATAGAATGCCGGAGGTTGGAAGGGACCTAAGAGGTCATCGAGTCCAACCCCCCTGCTCACGCAGGGTCACCTAGAGCACGTGGCACAGGGCTGCATCCAAGCGGGTTTTAAAGATCTCCAAAGAAGGAGACTCCACAACCTCTCTGGGCAGCCTGTTCCAGTGCTTTGTCACCCTCACAGTGAAGAAATGCTTCCTTAAGTTCCTGTGGAACTTCCGATGCTTCAGTTTGAAGCCATTTCCTCTAGTCCTCTAGTTCCTCTAGTCCCACCACTGAAAAGAGGCCGCCCCCCTCCTCCTCACTGCCTCCCTTGAGGTATTTATAGACACTGATCAGGTCCCCCCTTAGCCTCCTCTTCTCCAGGCTGAACAGGCCCAGCTCTCTCAGCCTTTGCTCATAGGGCAGATGTTCCAGGCCCCTGATCATCCTGGTAGCCCTGCGCTGGACTCTCTCCAGCAGCTCCACATCCCTCTTGTCCTGGGGAGCCCAGAACTGGACGCAGTACTCCAGATGTGGCCTCACCAGGGCTGAGTAGAGGGGGATGATCACTTCCCTCGACCTGCTGGAGACGCTTTTCTTAATGCACCCCAGGATCCCGTTGGCCTTCTTGGCCACCAGGGCACACTGCTGTCTCATGGTCAACTTGTCGTCCACCATGACACCCAGGTCCCTCTCTGCGGGACTGCTCTCCAGCAGGTGAAGTGAATGAAAATGTTTCTAGTGTGGCAGAAACACTGGCACCAAGTGCATGCTGTGGATGAAATGAAGCTTTGACCAATACTGAAAGAAAGATTAATGTCAAACCTGAGCTTGGCCTATTTCTTGTCTTTTCCCACCTTTTCCATCATTTCCAAGCACTTGGAAACCCTAGTATCAACCTTCTGCATCATAGCAAGTAGATATGGATACTAGTTCAGGTGATAACCTGAAGGGAGGAATAAATACTGGGGGCCAGAGGTAGTTAAATGCTAACAAAAAACACATGGAAAAGAGCTTGAAAATTTGAGACAGTTCAGGGGAGTGGTGACCTTTGAAGCCTGGAGAGCAACATCTACCTGCAAAGCTTTCCTCAGTTCAAAAGAAGCTTCTGGCCTTCCCTTTATTTACTTTGTTGCAGGAAGAAGTGTGAACTGAAGTAACACAGGGACAAATTTTTCATGAGCTCTGCCCACGGAACTGTGCTTACAGAGCTGAATGAAGGGGTATTCCTGCCTGGAAAGGGCTTGTTCTAGCGGGATGATACATCTTTCCTCTCATTTTCTTTGCTCCTGGCATACATAGATGCTGTTCCCCACCACCACCCTCATCTTGGGAACTTCAAGTCCTCCCACTACTTCTGTTCCCTTCTGAAATCATAGAACTATTGCATAATAGAATCATTATGGTCGGAAAAGACCTTTAAGATCATTGAGTCCAGCCGCAAACCCTTCAACACCATGCCTGCTAAAAGCATGTGTAACTCCAAAAATTGCCAACCACTGCGCCCTAGCAGTACTGAGGTGCCATTTCCACATTTCCCTGTGGACCTGTCAGTAATTTCCTGTGGTAGTCAGAGGAGTCTTTGCCTGACAGGAAAAACATGAGATTCAAGAACACGCCTAAAGTGAAAAAGGTTAACATTCAGTGCATGAGTTCAGAAAAAAAAAAAAGTGCCCAATAAGTCTTCTGTAAAAGAATACATTAATCCTAACAATTTCCTACCCTTTATCATTTTTTCCTCCTGTACTCATCATTTTTCCAGACTGCTCCTGTTCATTATTCAAACCCTGTATCTTCTCTCACTTTCCCTGTAATGTAATTTTTAGCAGCAAATGTTTTGCACATTAAGAAGCTGTAAGAAATACAGCACATAGTAATTGCACTGCAGTAGCTCAGAAAGATCAGGAATCTCCGCGTTTCCGTTCTGGCGGTGACGGTGGTGAGTCATTCTGTAACTTCAGATGCTGAATGGCTCTCCCTGTGCTTATATGCCTGTCAAGAGGGAGTCATCGAGCTTACCTCACAGGGCTGTTTTGGAGAATTAGGGCTTTAAAGCTTTGAAGTGCAACACCAGCCTCGTTAAGCATTGCTTAATGTGTTTATTAAGGGGCATGCACAGCCCTAGGATATTTCTGTGAGGCTCAGATGTGTTGCAAAACAACAGTTCTTTTAAAGACAGTGCTGATGCCAACTATGTAGAAGGATTCATCACACCAGGAAAAGGGTAAATCCAGTGCACACTCCTTTCTGTAGACTAGCAAGCTCAGTACCTGCTCACCCAGGCAGGTACTGTGATACTCATCTCACCGCCATGAAAATTAACACCGGGACCTCTCTTTCTTCTGTTTTAGATCCTGGCGCTCCTGTGAAACTGCCTTGTATGCCAGTTAAACTGTCACCTCCACTACCTCCAAAGAAAGTCATGATTTGCATGCCTTTAGGGGGGCCAGACCTCTCTCTCCCGTCTTATTCCACACAGAAGAGCTCCCAGCAGCCTTTGACTCAGCACCATCACACTGTCCTGCCATCCCAGTTAGCAGCTCACCAGCACCAGCTCCAGTATGGCAGCCACAGCCAGCACCTGCCTTCTGGGTCCAGCACGTTACCCATCCACCCTTCAGGGTGCCGGATGATAGAGGAGTTGAACAAAACGCTAGCCATGACCATGCAAAGGCTAGAAAGGTAATGGATAAACTTTAAAAAATAAATATTAATATGCACTGTTTCTTACCTCCTTAGTGCTAGCACTACTTGAGTTACGTTGATGATATTTGGCAACCAGGCTTCTCCTCTGGAGGTCTGAAAGTGTATGGAGAAATATGCTCTCTCACTGCTGGAGAAACAGTCAGGGAAAGAGCCTTTCCAAGCTGGTTTGGTAAATTTGTGGCAGAGCAGAGAAGAACATCAAATTTGCTGAATGCTGTTGTCCTGTTCAAGGAGCTAGGTAATACCATGGATGGAGATGACAGCAGGACATGCCCTGCTTGCAGTATATAATGCAGTGTGTATAGCTGCAGAGCTCTGGTTACATGGAGGATCCCCCCAAAACTGGAGAGGAAGTGGGAGATTTAGGAGAAAAGATCAATAAAAGCCAGATGTGCCACACTGCAAGGGCATAGGATTAGCATTACTGATTAGCTCATAACAACTTTTGAGAACTCCTGCAAGTTACTTAGAAAGATTTTCATGTACTTTTTAATTATTTCAATTAATTAAAATGATTTGTTTGATTATTTTAAAATAAATATTATGAACAGATATATAACTACGGTGTATCTGTAAATGAAAACGATTCACTTTTTCACTTAACAATTCACTTAACTTTCCACAAAGATTACATTGAGCATTAGACCCATTCCACAGCAGCTACCTTCTTATCCAGTCACATCTGGAAGAAGGTTACAAAGTTAATCAGAAGTGCTTTACCTACCTTGGGGCTGTTTTTTATAACTGTCTCTTGTGAATACTTCTGGATGATGTTTCAGATAATCTGAATAAGTAAAGCATGTTGTATAAATGCAAGCTGTCTTCATAAACTGCAAGATCAGCAAGCTTTGGAAAATTTACTTTGACTTGCAGACCACAATTGAGCAAGTCCAAGAGAAGAGAGCATAGTCAAAAATGACATGTACTGTTTAGGACCAAGGGCAGCTTTGCAACCAGCTTGCTCGAGGAGTATCAGATCATCCTTCTTTTAGGCAGGGGGCTAAAATATTTGACCTAACAGGAAAAAAAAAGCCTAATGATTTGCCCGAGTACTCCTTTGTGATAATGTTGCCTTCATTATCTTGCACAGTTAAAAAAAAAAAAAATTCTTTAATGCCAGTAAGAATAATTAGGCGACCAGAGACTGTCCCACCCCACTAACACCTTTTAGCAGCAGAGTGTCAAGAAAAGAAGGAAAGCATCAGGAGATATATCAGGTGGCCTTACCTTCAGCAAATCCTGAAAAAAATGGCTCAACCATGAGGGAGATTCCTACTGCCTCCAATAAAAGGGCCATAACAGCAGGATTGGAAAGAGCATCAGCAATCCCTCCAGCACGGCCCTTGCCCCAGGACTACCCAGTTATGTCTCATGTTGCCGACGGGGCCGGTCAGAGCCACCCACATTGCCCGGAGGCTCCATGCCACGGGTGCAGAGGCTGTGCCTCCAAAAGGCTCCTTGGATGGCTCGTGCCATTCCCGCCGTAGCTGGGGCACAGCCGTGTAGCCTGGCTCCCGCTGCGAGCAAAAGGCTCTTTGCTAATGGGAGCCCAGCGATATTTCTCGGAGCATGACTTCACTGTGGCATCTGTTGCCCCTCAGCAATGACTGCTCCATTTTCCAGGCTTCCGTCAAGTTTATGCCTACAAATAATATCTAACTGATTTAAGGGAGGTGAGTCTGTTTGGTTTTAACTATTAATCTGAAGGTAAGGCTGTGCTGATTTTAAAAGCTGAATAAGCAAGGGCTCATTTCTGAATATGATGCAGCTATCTCCTGTCGCAAAAGGGAATAATTAAAATGCAAGCACATCCTAATGCACAGTAATTTTCCATTACCTTTTTTTGGAGGGTTGATTAACTGTTATTTCAGTCATAAAATAATACATTATTTCAGTTACATTTCTTGTAAAAATAAATCAAAAAAATTTTCTCCCTTTGTTAAAAGGGAGGAAACAGTTAATGACTATTTGCTCTGCAAAAACAACTGTTATTTTTGCAGTATGAACAGACAAAAAGGTCTGTGTAGCTGACACTGTTATATTTTTAAATTATTTTTCCAAGTCATGTTGTGGTATTAATAAATTTGCTAGTTTCTCTTGAAGATTTGTACATATTTTTAAAATGCATTATTTAACTTGGGAGAGTTTAGTTGTGCCAAATAGTACCGTTTTCTGGTATTTTGGATAGTGGGGTTTTTTTTTCCTTCCTTAATTGTATAAAGTCAGACTTTCCCAGCGGAAATCACACTGCAATATTTGTTATGGGACATTTCAGCTTAGAAATCTTGAAGCCTTAAACCTGCACTGATTTCCTCTAATGGATCTACTAGGTCAGTTTTCCTCTAGTTGAAATTTGTTTATGTGCTCACATCCCTCACATGCATAGAATATACGGTGATGTCCTGAACCGTGCTGTTTCTTCCCAGATGACATACTACTCGGTCACTGCTCTTGGGTCAATAATCTTGAAGAGATGAGAGATCTTGACATGTCTCTGAGGCATCTTCTGGAGAATGCTAAAATCATAGGCATCATTTCTTTCTGCTGATCTCAGTCCTTATCTCAAAGAAATTCTGTAATATTCTAGAATAATTTCCTCAGTGCTGCAGTAGTAGCGCTGCCAGGCATTATTGAGAATAATAAAATGTTATTTAGATAATGGGTTTTTTTAATAGGGCAGGGTAGTGTAGACAAGTGCAGATCAATTTTCTACTCTCAATTCCTCCCTTCCTTCCTTCCTCCCTTCCTTCCTTCCTTCCTTCCTTCCTTCCTTCCTTCCTTCCTTCCTTCCTTCCTTCCTTCCTTCCTTCCTTCCTTCCTTCCTTCCTTCCTTCCT